TATTGACTTTCCATTTGGTTTGGTATTCATAAATTTATGGCAGCTGTCGAGGACTACCGACCTGAACTGTTGCAGGTTCTCTTCGGAAGTTGGTGATAGATCATATGTTTGGTTTATCAAGTTTTCGAACTGAACTTGGGTTTGGAGTTTTTGGATTTTTGATGGTTTTGTGCAGAACTTTGGACCGAGGGATAGTGCTTCTAGTTGAAGTTCTGACAGCTCAATGTTTGAGAGGTTAAATACGTATTTTTCTGGATTGCTTGGGAATGGACGTTCAGGGTCGCCCGTTGGCTTCAGGCTTTTAATAAGGTTTGACTTGACATTCTCACATTGTTTCTGTGCAACTTCTTCGACATATTCTTCGAACGATTGGCGTAGTTCTTGTTCTAAATTGTGGACTGCGTGAGCTCGTAAGTCAACATTTCGTTCTAGTTCAGGGACACGTGATTGGATGGAGTCAATGTTGTTTAGTGTGTGTCGCCTGAGCGTTCTGGTATTCGGATGGATGTGGTTTCGTCTGAGGGACTTCCAGTACATCTTTGGATATTCGTGCCGAATTTCAAATTACTGCAAGGACCTAGTGACGGTGAAGGAGCTGGACCGTTTCCTGCGTTACTCCGTCAAGCTTGCAGTAGCGAAGACAGAGATTCAATTCTTGAGAGAATGTTTAGATCGGCACGAATATCCAAAGATGTACTGGAAGTCCCTCAGACGAAACCACATCCATCCGAATACCAGAACGCTCAGGCGACACACACTAAACAACATTGACTCCATCCAATCACGTGTCCCTGAACTAGAACGAAATGTTGACTTACGAGCTCACGCAGTCCACAATTTAGAACAAGAACTACGCCAATCGTTCGAAGAATATGTCGAAGAAGTTGCACAGAAACAATGTGAGAATGTCAAGTCAAACCTTATTAAAAGCCTGAAGCCAACGGGCGACCCTGAACGTCCATTCCCAAGCAATCCAGAAAAATACGTATTTAACCTCTCAAACATTGAGCTGTCAGAACTTCAACTAGAAGCACTATCCCTCGGTCCAAAGTTCTGCACAAAACCATCAAAAATCCAAAAACTCCAAACCCAAGTTCAGTTCGAAAACTTGATAAACCAAACATATGATCTATCACCAACTTCCGAAGAGAACCTGCAACAGTTCAGGTCGGTAGTCCTCGACAGCTGCCATAAATTTATGAATACCAAACCAAATGGAAAGTCAATACTGACCAAAAAACACTATAAAGAGCTCAAGGAATTAATAAACAACAAAGAGATTATTCTGTTACGCCCGGATAAAGGTGGGGGAATCGTAGTCATGAATCGTGAAGACTACGTAAGTAAAATGCTGACCATCCTATCCGACGAATCTAAATTCATAAAACCAGCAAACGAAAAGAACATGACGGAACAAACTGAACAAAAACTAACGAACCTCCTCCGAAAACTAAAGACTGAATCATTCATCGATCCTGAAACCTTCGAATCGTTGAAACCGTCGGGCTCAAATATACCCCGGCTATATGGACTACCAAAAGTGCACAAGAAAGACGTACCTCTTCGACCCATTCTCGATATGACTAATTCACCTTATCACAGTACAGCACAATGGCTAGTAGACATACTAGAACCAGTCAGAAAGCAAATCTCTCGCCACTCACTTCGAGACTCCTTCGATTTTGTCAATTCCATTGAAAACGTCAACGTTTCCAATCAAACCATGTTCTCACTAGATGTGGTATCACTGTTTACAAACGTCCCACTAACCGAAACAATATGCTTTATATGTGAATATATTGATTCAAAGGAGATGAACATTGGTATACCCACGGACTATTTGAAGGAACTCGTATTAAGATGCACTCTAAACGTCCAATTCACTTTCAATAATGAAATATATAGACAAAAAGATGGTATAGCTATGGGTTCACCACTCGGCCCGCTGCTTGCAGATATTTTCATGTCAAAACTAGAAAATACACACCTAAAGAAGACAATAGATAACTTCGGGTTCTACAAGAGATACGTGGACGATACTTTTATTATCGCCAATAATGAGGAAAACTTGGAGAACATATTGGACTTCTTCAACAGTTGCCATCCAGCAATCCAGTTCACACTAGAGAAGGAGTCCAACGCAACAATATCTTTTCTGGACGTGCAACTAACAAGACGCGAACAAGATGGGACACTCAAAAGATCCATTCACAGAAAACCGACATGGAATGGACAACTCATCAGCTTTCACAGTTGGGTGCCTCTATATACAAAACGAAATCTAATCCGCTCACTGACTCACAGAATCCACAACATTTGCAGTCCGGAAACCATAGAAGAGGAGCTGAAGACCCTGAAAAGAATCCTCCTTGAAAACGGTTACCTGGAACGTTTCATCACAAAAGCCATGAAGCCCAAAACACAAAAACCGTCCATGCTTACTGCTCCCAAGAAACTTCTCTATTTGAATCTACAATTCAACGGAGATTCTTCAGCAGAAATACTGAGAAACCGCCTGTGCCGTTCACTGAAGAAAACCTTCTTCGCAGCTGAACTCAGACTAACTTTCTCTACGAAACCAATGATTCGCACGAACGTGAAGGATAAGCTTCCACTGGGGGCCTCATCAATGTGCATCTACCAATTCACCTGCTCATGTGGAGCGAGGTATGTTGGCCGTACCCAGCGTTTGCTATCCAAACGAATCAGCGAACACTTACCTTCATGGTTTTATAAAGGAGAAAGAAGATCCCCCCGCCACAGCTCTATCCTAGAACACTTGATCGAATCCGGACACCAAGCAAACCCACAAAACAACTTCTCAGTTATCTACACAATACGTGGGGGTCTTGCCAAAAGAGTACGAATTAAACTTCTTCAAACTGCAGAACCAATGGCAATTCACATATTGAATCCTGAACTCTGCATACAAAAGAAGTTTGTTCAGTCACTAAATCTACAATGGTTCTGATCTATTTCAACACCCAATACGTAATTTTGTCTTACCTCTTTCTTCTTTGTTTGTCTGTTTCTTAATTGCATTATTTTCTACCCCCACCCTCTATTAAATCTCTACCCTCATGACGACTGTTACTAACTCCATTTTCGTTTACTTTTAAGTGAATTCTACTCAGCTTGTCAACTTAACTCTCATTCATTTTCAAGTGAATTCTACTCAGACTATTAACTTGACTCTCATTCATTTTTCATTGAACCCTAGCAATTAGATTACGTCACCCAACCTACTTTTGTAACTTTATTTCAGTTTCTAACCGATTAACGCCTTCTAAATTACGTAATTTGTTGTCAAAAATTAACAATTGCATTAACACATCTTTGGAAATATTCCTTTTGTTGCCAAGAAAAATTACTATAAATTTGCGGTTTGTACAGCTTGAGAATGATATCGCCGAAAAGAGTAACTCTTTGCTGAACGCCTTTTCTTTTCTATGACTGAATGGGAATTTTCAAATTTCGTTGTCGATAAAATTTATTTTGATAAAGTCCCTTCCCATGAAGTGACAAAATCAACACGAATATGATATGCAAGTTCACTATGTAAACAAACACTGTCTTTGTAATTTTAAACACTGATCAAACCCAACAATCTACACTTGGTTTTGTTATCTTTACCAATTGACCAACTTGACAACGAAAAATGACCCCAGACTAACGAACGATGATCAAGTTAGTAACCTTTGTTTTGATACCATAACAGATGTACTATTACCTTTGTTATTTGATTTAGTGATATTCATTGTTATTTTAACTTTAATTATGTCCTTTTAACTTGACCTAAGTCTATTTTCTCACCCCTCAACTCTTTGTTATATTTATCCTGAGATTTTGTAAATTCCGGTTTAATAATACCTTGATAAAGCTATTAGCATTAAATACCGAAACGTCAGTAAAAACAATATCTTTTTGTTTGTCATTCATTGGGAAATACAAAAATACAATACAAAAGTTCTAGTGAGAAGTCGTGACCAGTGAGGTCCAATTAGATGTCACGTGTGTGGATGGATGTCCCACCAACGACAATGGTTGGGGTCGCGCTAAATCACCGATTGGTAGAAGTTAGAATTCATGAGCCATTGAATCGGGCCCCAGTGGCTGAATGGTATACGAGCTTGCCTGGTAACCGGAAGCTCCTGGGTTCTAATCCCAGTGGGTGCGTAATGCTAATGATTCCCAAACTAGGATGAAACAGCAGGTGTCCAGTGCTCCCTGGTTTTCAATGGTTGTCTAACTGATATCAATCCGTGACCAACTCGTATATTGAATGCAAAATCTTTCAGAAATACTCGTTTCACTTATTATTAAACTGAATTCATAGAGTACTACTGAGTCCATTTACCAGTAGGTGTCACTCAATTCACAATCTGACAGCCTCATATTATTCCTAATTTAACCGTGAATGTTTTCTCACGTCAGTCCAACAAAATGTAACCCATAGACTTTTGAGAAAAAGATACAACACTTCCTTACGATACGGCTTGCCAACACAGTACTGATCTTCAAGTGTTGGTTAGAAGGGATTTGATTGGATACAGGATTTTCATCATGAGCTGACATTAGTTAGAGAACCAATGGAAAACCTGGGAGTACTGGACAGCTATTTCGTTCTACTTTGAGACTCTTCATCAGTATGCACCCACCGGGATTCGAACCCAGGACCTTCTAGTTACAAGGCGAGCTCGTATACCATCGATCCAATGGCCCATGAATTCTAACTTCTGCCAATTCACGACATGGCGCGACCCCTAGCCAATGTCTTCGGCGAGTATTTGTGCTCACACCCGAGCTGCTGCACCCTACTAGTCACGACTTCTCACTAGAACCCCAGGTAACCACCTACTTGAATAGGGCAAAAGAAGTTAACTCACATACTAAATAGTGAATGATGATAATCTCAATCTTTTGGATCTGAAATTTCTGGTAGAATTCCTTCTTATACTGTACAAACATTGTTAACGTTGACTGTTGCTTTGAAATTTCAGGCGGAAATAAAAGCACCATTGTTCAAGTTTTCACATCTTTCTACGGATGTAACAAGTCGCTTTTGGAAAGTTCCTATGGAACATGATGCAATACGGTATCGCCTTTATCCAAACAATTCTTTTCTTACAAGAACTGCCACTAATCATAACCAGTATAGCCTAGGAAACTCGAAAATTCTATCAAGATCCTCATACGCACTACTATCTCCATTGAATGATAAGGAGAGGATATATATGTGCTCTAGTTTTAGTTCAATGCCGCGAAGTAATTCCGAATTAATGCTTGACTCAATGTCCACGCGTAAAGTCACATTCTCCCGTATTCATTTACCCGAATCTATTTCTATTCAACTAAGCGAGAAAATGTGCAGGAAAATGTATGACGATGAGAGTAATTCTGTCAAAAATATTGATGAAAACACAATTGCTTCATGCACGATATGTGCAAATAGTCCATTGAATAAAACACTCACAGGCTTTCAACACTTTCAGCTTCAGTTACTTCATCACCCCAAGAAAATGCTTCAGAAGAAAACAGACGATATTATAGGATTCAATCATATGGTGTTTCATCAGCGTTTGAAAGCTACTATTGGTCTGTTGATATTTTGTAAGGTAAGTTTTCTTTGTTGAAATCCTTATTTTTGTACTCGAGGCGTGTAACTCAAAAACATCTCACAAGTTTGCACACTTGACTAGGAATTAGACCCGCTGTTACCTAACTGCTAAGTGAGGTGTAAAGCGAAGCGAAATAGGTGAATTGTTATTATCCAGTCCAGTTAGGTACGGCTGGACATGTATGTTAAGCTGGAATGTCAAAGTTACCACCAGGTCATCCTACTCTCGTAGGTCAAATGGTAATGGATAATCGAACTACACTATCAGTGGAGCCCCGGTTACAGAGAATATATAAAGACTATTCGAAGTATTTTAACAGGAGTCTGACAAAAAGAGAAAATGCCCATTCATTGAACTCTGACCGATTACTTTTCCATGTATAAGAATGTACTGGACACAACTGTCTAACCCATGACACAAAAGAATTTTATTAGATATTCCCACCGATATGATTTTTTGCAGCAAATAAATACTTCTCCGCACAGAAATCACACCATAAAACGTCATTATAAGTGCGGAATTAAGAACGCACTATTAATTTTTGACCATGACACCATTGGATAGTTTGCTACTTACCTATCTCTGATGATAACTAGTAGATACTACTTAAACTTGCGGTGCTAACAAAAATGCTTCACTGAAGGTGATTTTCTTAATCTGAACAGGACTACCCTACAATTACAGTAAGTGGTCAACATCATTCGTCTTCAACAAATAATCTGTATCATTTCATTTGCAGAATTAGCATACTTCACATTAATTACAAACTAGGTGTCATACTTATCATTATGTTAACAACTTTGTATTTCTCTCCAGGTAAGCATGAATACTTATGTACCGAACTCACTGGGTGATTTAATTGAAACCCTGAGTAAAGAATATGACACTCGGTCAAGAAGTAAACCATGCAGACAAATGGACCAAAATCAACAATGCAACGTAAACCGTTCAAGAAGCTATGTACAGCTAGACAGACAACACAGTATTCGAGAGAATTCCACCATGAAACAACCGGTAATGCGTTCAAATTCTTTTACCTACAAACAATACCATAAAAGTGTCGTTTAAGGGAGCATTTTTGTTAGTGATTATTTTATTACTACTAGTGATAATAGTAAAACACATGCCACTACCACTTCTAGAAGTGCTGTCGCTCCAACTGTTATTGGTTTTGCCGACAGTAGCACCAATTATGAATATTTATGCTACAAACTGTTATCTGTCCTACAGGAACCTCTTCAAAAATAACTGCTGAATAGTCATAACTTTATTCACATTATCCATGAGCTACTGATTTGTACAAATCACAAAAAGATTTTCATTTGTCTTCTTATTACCTAGTTTAATACTTCGTTTGTCAATGTGAAGGATATAACTGATTTCACAATCTTTCCAATCTAATTGTTGATTAACTGACGATAACCATACGCCAAATAATCACATTTTAAAAAGATTTACTAATGTACATATTCTAAAAGTAACAATTATTCTATAATACTTTGAATATAATTATTTAATTAATACGTCGAGTGTCAAGTCATCTAGTTCAGTTACCATACTACACAGTCGATCAAAATACCTAGTATTGAACGACAAAATTTGATGTCGTACGGTCACCTGATTGAATGAACTCCCTTTATTAGGCTTCTTTCCCGGTAGATGTCGTAATCATACACAGACTACCTTCTGTGCGTCCACAGAGAAAATCAGCTTTCCAAAAGACGAATACACATCAGGTTTAAGAACGCTTAATAATTAAAGATTCGATGAGGTAATCGTCTTGCTACTTGAAGTTAGTTGGAATTAAAGTGAGACTTTATTATCAAATCCACCTGAATACATCTCGTCAAATATAAAGTTTATCAATCATTTAGCACCATGATCTCATTACTTATGGCCGCATATAACATATTTGGATATCTACCTCCAACATATGAATTACCTAGGTAAAGAACTACCTACAACTTCAGATTATTTCACTACTACTATAACTACTATACGACTTCTGAGCGAAACAGTTTCTTCTTAGCTGTAGATTCTAGTCTCATCTAGCTACTGTACATACATATATGCTACTAAATCGATTTTGAGACGTATCAGTGATCAATCCATACCGAGTTTTAAATAGGACATGCAATACATTCATTACTGACAAAATACACAGCGTAAAGTGAAAACTCACCACCGTCTCTTTTAGAAATCTCCAAACGTGCGGAACGGCGACCTGATGTATGCATCATTTTGATCTAGCCATTGCTTGACACGAGTGGTTTACAACTACTAATATCAACCAGTATCACATGCTGTCTTGCTAAATAATCAGCCAGTCTGGATTACACAACACTAAAAACATATCTTCGTCGGTTAGAAGCGTATTCCAAATCACACTGACTTTTATTACAATTTAATACCACGCATCGCAATAAGTGACTAGGACTGTACAACGCATACTCCACACATTTTATTCAGTGCCTTTTATCTAATTTTCATCCCCCTCTCCACCTAGCAATAATTCAAAAACACAGAACAAATAGTCGCAGATCGAAGATATCTTACACCGTCAGCGAGTATGTTTAAATCGTTGAGTAGGACATGGTGAAATACAGTACAGTACACTCATCCGTTGACTAGAGGTCTGACATCTTACTGATGCTATAGATAATGCAGACCAAAACACAGACCTTTCGAATCTATGCTTCTACATCGTCAGTGACCCGTCTATTAGTGCTAATGCAGTGTGTGAACTGACTGAAACGCTAGAATATATAACTACCCTTAATTTAAGACTGGGACGCACTGGTCTTACCACCTGCTCAGCGCGCCAAATGCATGCACAAGACTCTGGATTTTGACAGTACCTCTTATTGAAGGGACCATGTTGCCTGTATACCTTATATTACCGTTTCAAAAGCAAGTTGACACAACTATCGCACTCCAGCATCACGCTGCAAACGACAGCGCACTTAGACAGGTAATACCACTAACCCTTTCTCTTGCCCAAATAAATGATACATAATACCCGCAGTCGATATCTACTTCGGTCCTTCCGTAGAAACCCCCACTGGCGTCCTTATAAAGAATCCCGAACGTAAGACTAATTACAGGAACTCAACCTGTAACGCATCAAAAATAAGCTTGTGGTCCTTAAATATTAATCCCACTGCTTTGTAAGTGCACGCTGATATGAAATGGAATCGTATCGAAACTATATTTTTATTCTTAAGAAGTCTGATTTAAATTTACAAGCAACTATTAGTCCACCCAATTTATACAAGTCCTTAAAATGCATTGGTGATAGATCAAAAATGCATCAGCCCATGAAATCAACTTGAGACAGGTAGGGAAGTTTAACGGTTGGAGTCTCCAAAATTGTAGCAGACTCTTCGTGAGATGGCTCGAGTTCACTTACATTGGTGGATTTATTCAGTCTCTATCATTGTAATTTTAATTACCTTTGACACCCACCCATAAGCTAAACTTTCAGATACGCATTTTTGTCTGTCGTGATACCACTGCATTTGCTTTAAATGTGCTTTTTAAAAGTGTAGAAAATTAAATTGGTACGTATCTGTGTGGAAGTCTATACTAATTAGTCAGTTAGTCGAAATGAAGATGCTACTGATAACTAGCTTTTGCGACTAACCAAAACACTCCCAATAGCCAAGACGTCGATGATAACGTATGCTGCCATTATTCAAACATAAGCGAACTTAATTAGCCTATCGAAAGAAGCAGTTAATTGCACAGTATTAATTTTATTCAAATGTCTAATCAATTTCACTTATGTATATAAATGAAGTGGAAAGTTGTGAGTGACTTGATACGATTATGAGCAATAGTTTGTGCTCGGAACGTCATCAGTTAATATTACTGTATAAGTGTGTGATTTATCAAAATAAAATCTTATCTCTTATGAACTTCAATTTGTTGGGCAGTCTTTCACCACTAGTCATGCTTTAATCAACATAACATCCTATATTAAAAACACCACAATAATAAGGTTACCGAACCAGTGAACGTATTAAGCATTTTTCATGACAAAAGGTCAGTGAGGAATAATATTATGTTTCATAGCACAGTTAAGAGGAAACCGTGAAATCATGTAAGGATGGTGGAGAACAAACAGCTAGTGATACAGTGATGTTATTAGCATCGGATGAAGACAATAATGAGAACCCACAACCATTCAAATTACAAAAATCTGAAATATTAGGCTTCCAAAAATTAAAAAACATTGCAACCAATAAATAAATCACTTATACGAACATTTAGAAGTAATATAGGTCGTTTCGAGTGTTTTAAAAGAGCTTACACGCCCACTTCTTCTCTTTGAAAGGATTGTCCTTAACACGGTGAACAAGAGGATCTGAGAGTAGGTTTTCTTGGCAGTAATTGATTAAGTCTATAACAGTATGGCTGAATCTTTGTCTCTCATGAGCACAGTGAATCCTTAGATCTTGAACTTCACGTCTTCTTATTTCAATCTCGTGCGACCTACTAATTGGAGCCATCTGCTAAGTCCTGCCAGCACCAAACAAAACAGGGACCAAACGGACGTAGGTCACTCGCTGACCTATGGGTGAGAAAAACAAAGTTTGTGATGGAATTTTTTGAGAAACTACCGACTTCAGAGCATTTCCATGTTATGATAATAAATCGAAAATTTTAAAACTTGATAGTATGACACTAGAACATTTATGAATCAGTTGTGATAAGCAGCTGGGTATGATGCATAGATTAGGTTCAAACAAAAGTTGTAACACATTACGCCAGATACTGTGTCGAAGACTGATAGTTAGAATTAAGTGTCAATCATAGGAACACAATTACAATTAAGTATTCTGTTGTCCGTATTAATAACAATAGGCTAACTAGTCTGTATCAGCACTTAATTTTTGTTCCCCATAACGACCCAGCTTTTCCTAGGAAGCATCAGCTGGGGAAGCTACTATCACAAACTGCAGTAACAAGTTTGAGCTCTATAGGCAAATCTAAACTACACTAGTCGTTCTCTTAATTGTGATTCCTGAAATCCCTTCAACAATTACACCAAGAAGAGGCGAAATTATCCAGGTGGTTAACACAGTCATATCACAAGTTCTTTAGATCTGGTTTGAAAAGACTCACAGTTTCTCCCCTCTCCTCGTGCATAGAAACCGTGGGCCACTGGAAGAGATATACTAGTTGCCTCCTGCTCAAATTCGAAACTTGGAAAGCCACATTAACTATATACAAGATATCCATTCACCCTAAACTTGAGTAGTGGGCCCTCCATATGTTAGCCTAAGGTAAGCAGGTCGGCAAAAGTACGAGAATATATTGATAAAGCAAACGGAAGTTTCTTACGGAATCACATGACTGAAAAAGGCCTGTGTGGTTCAGGATAGTAAATGTCAAAGTCATAGGGGCTCTTCATAGTGTAGTCTAATACCAAACCATGCCATTCACTCTACTTTGGCTGCAATCTCACGATTGCCACTCACAGAAAGACCAGAAATGCAGACGTCTTCACCACTGACTTCAGTAAAATGTGGAAGCAATCACGGCGGAATGTTTTGGAATAAAGCGAATTATTATTATTAAATGGTCTGAAAATCCCTCCGGTGCAACCTACTGATAACTTTGACACTTAGTTCAGTATTTCAGGTAATTTTGTGATTGTTATCCTCTGACCTGACTGCTATTACACTCACATTCGCCCGTCTGCTTCTGATGTAGTTGTAATTGCCTATCATTGCCTACAATTGGTCTTCAAAATGCATCAGAGTTTATGAAGACCGTTTAATCAGAAACAGAATAAAGCAGATGGAGGGGGGAGGGAGCCAACACAGAATTGTTTAAGGATAGTGGTGATGGAGTGTTTCCTGGGTTACCTGAGACATTAGATAATGTCTGGGAATAAAAGTTAGCCTCGTTGGACAGGTAGAAACGGTTGATTATCTCAGTTTATATAAAGACAGACAAGTCCTCCTAGTATAATCATAAGGGGATAAACTTGACTAATATAGTATCAGCAGTCCCAGACTCAATAATCACTTGTAGACCAAGCGGTACAGGGAAAGAGTAGACCTGGAGAAATCAGGGAGGCTCTAAACCAAGATGATGGGCACTTAACATAACCTCACTACCTGGCAAATTCTGGAATGCACGAACACTTTCCAGAGTCCAACACTTGGCATAATTCCCAACCTGAAGACGGAATCGGTTTCCATTGATCTAGAGGTGTTGTAGCAATATCTAACGATGAAGAGAGTGTGGGAAAAAGTACATTGCATCAATTAAGGTACACTACATTTCCGAATGGGGAGTTCGAACTTCTGAATCGCAACTAAAGGATACTTTAGTTGCTTGTGAGAACTCTTAACATTTCGCAGTGAAGAGCTTGTAAGCCCACATCCTTTTCATTGGCCAGTTTGTAAGCCAACGTTTTCCTCTGAGCATTCTTTATCTGAAAATCAGATTTCAAATTAACAACAAGTAATCATCAAATCTTCTTGCTAAATGTTCGGCAAGCAGGAAACGAATGCAAACAAATGTGGCAACATATCGTACTAGTTCCCCTTCACAGCTACTTTAAATAGTCAGTCGATGATATGCTGTTTAATAAGTCCATCATGCTCACCATCCGTCAACATTATCATACAGAGAACCCATGATAATTGCCGTTGTTAATTAACATCACACCACTCCATTCTTACTGCTGGCGTATCAGCAGAACACTGGCAACTGTATCATCAGTATAAGATATCCGCCAACTTAGAGCAAAATTGTGTAGTATATTATAACATCACAGTTAACAGGTGTCAACCGCTATACATGACTTTCAAACTGAAAAAAGCAAAGTAGTGCAGCTACGCATCCGCAGGTCGCATATGTGGTTAAACACTTAACACATAGACATTCAGGTGTGTTCATTCCCGAGCTTTTGTAGGATTGTACGAAACGTGCGTTAGACCAAGTCAAGATGCCGCTGCTCCCCGCATTACTCAGAAGAGATAGTAACCTTTTGGAAAAAGTCCAGAGTTGGGAGAAGAAGGGGTGATGGGTGTCCTATATCAACTAAATGACGAGCGACTGAACAAATGACGCCTTTTCACAATTAGCTACTGTCGACTTATGGGTGGCTTGTGTGATTAAAAGTCACCAGAAACACCCAAACAAAGGTATTGTGTCATTAGATACATGTGGGTTCTCTCACAGTAATCCAAGGTTGATAGCGCACCAGAGAGCAAAGACTCGGAGTTCTCTACCAGCAGAGGGTGTGTTCGTGGAAAGTCTTGAGCTGAGGCTGGAAAATTATACAGAGACACAGTGACTGAATCCAAATGACCTATCTCCTTGACACTCACACACTACTAGTAGATATACCTTTGAAATCATCCTTTTATTACTTCCCATTCTCCTTTGTCTCCCTTTTATGACTACTGCATCTACTAATTACCTTATATTATTGTAGATATGCATACATCCAGTTTCATTAGCAATCTGCTTTCTTTCCCTTTGTCCACATAATCAACCCTAATCATACCTATTATTTTCTTCCCTCGACCCCACCGGATGAATAAAAGTCGAAGAAATCAACTACATTCACTGCAGCGATACTGTCCTAACATGTCACATACTAAAAACCATATATAATCAGTCCCAGCATCATTTCTTTTGGAATCAACCGATGCTTACACAGTCAAATGGCGGGAGGAACTACGCAAGTGCTAACCAGAGACTAAGAACCTCCACTTTACAGCCTAGAAGTGAGCAAATATATATTTTAAAGTAGTGGCGGTGGATTATTAATAGTATCCTTGGTAAATATCAACTGTTGGGGGAGCAGCAGTAGCAGAATCTACAAAACACATCACAATGCGAAAATGACAAGATACTTCGCGAGTCAAACAAAGATGAATAATGTCTCCGAAAATATTGTCCAATCACAGTCAGTCTTCCGAACACACACCAGCGCCACTTTTAATCTTACTCTCCACACACACTGTTCCACATAACGTTCAGTTGCAATGCCGAAGTTTATATCTGAGGTTGACGTTGAAGCCCGAAAAAAGATTCAGGAGGATGAAGGTATAGTCGAAGCTCCATACGATGCTAGGTCTCTATATGAAAGACTGCAGGTATTTCCACCATTTGTTAATCATATTTTAACGTTTTTGATTATTATTATTATTGTGTCTTTCCTTTGTGATAGCTTTTTAGACTAATAATAAGGGTTGTGGTGGATCGGGAAACGGTTTTTATCTCTTCTGAACACACCCGTATAAGACTAGGGGATAGTTCTTAGGCTGCCTCCTATGTTGGCTCCCCTATAGGGGAATGTTCTCGTAAACACGAGAACGTCTGGACAGAACACGCTGTATATCCCGGTGTATTCTCCTACTGGGTCGCTATTACCATGCATTATTACCTCACATTCTCATGTATGTACCTGGTGCAAAATAAAATGCGTTTATCTGTGACGTACGGATTTGGAGTTTCCACACTTATAGATTCAGTCTGTTGTACAGCCGATTGTGAAGCCATGCCCACCTTCATTATTCGTCAGAATTAATTTCAGTGATTAGAATGTCCTGCGAAATATGCAGTTAAGATACACTGTCTGTCATCTGTGGCTGTTGTACAGCTATTTCTTCGAGAAGGATATTGTTTATTTCATAATCAAAAATTCGGAATTTCAAATATTTTTCAGCAACGGACCCTAGCGAGTCTATCTGCTTGATCAAGTATTACAAAAGCCCTCAGTGTGAAACGTAATATAATTACGAACGCAACTAGACGTTTTTGTAATACCTTTTCTAAATTTATTTTGACCACGTACCCTAGGCAAATAAATCTGTGTGTATGTCTATTAATCTGGACGTTTAAGCAAAGTGTTTATGCATGCAGACACTTTCCACTTCGTATTTAGAGATCAAAACATTGCCCGGCACACTTGTTCATGATTAGTTTCAAGAAGTCACATAAGGTTTATTGTGCGTTACAGTCCTCATATTGTGTTTTTCATATCATTCATTAATTCGTAATTCTTCTGGTAGTGTAGAAGTAAAATAACTCTAGAAAGTCCGTGATTTATTTGGGGCATACACAACAACATCTTGAACAGCTATGCTTCATAAATTCATGAAATCAACCCAAAGCGTTCCAATACATTAACAGAGGTCGGGCCAACATAGCAACTGCCTACATACATGTGAACAGGTGTTAATGGTGATCTAGTTGAAAGTAGAATCAGCTCTAGTGTTTGGCGCCGCATTGGCATCAGCAAGACTGGATGCTTTGTTTTCTGAACTCGAATTACTGGACTTAATTTCTATTTACAGTTGTTTAGGCTGCAAGGTTATGCCAAAATAAAAAGCAACCGGCGAAAGTCGGGAGATGTGGCAGCTTACTCAAGCCACCTGCACTTTTGTCTTTAGCACTTGATGTGACACCAACAACAGATAAGTTGGACAATGATGCGCACATGAAATACTGCTCGGGCCTTCAGATGGTTGTATTCAAATGAATTATCTTGGTATGTTTTATACAGATCCCTGAAATACAGTGTGCACCAGCAGAGAGGTTTTCCAGGGTTTTGATCAGGTGTGCCTGTTGTCCAATTCTCACCAATTAGCAGGCTTTTGTGATATATTTGAGTGCAACGTGGTTTCAGATTAGCTATGTATAACATATCGCACTGGAGACCAACTTGATATTCACAAAGGTGCTGACAAACTGAAATCTCAAATGACAAGTGTCTAACAGAAGTAAAGGTACTAAACAGCTCAAAGAGAATGAGAGTAAAAGAAATTAGTTTATTTACGAAAATAAGAGTAAAACGCTAGTGGATCAAAGCAGTAGATGTTTCATTAGTGCACCAGTTTGAGTGAGTGTTTAGATTAGTTGAGTTTTCCACTAACGTATAACTTCATTTTTTGTTTGAGGGATGATATTTGCGAAATGGTATTTGAGGCAGATGGTACACCGACTAACAACTTTATAGGACACCTAAAATACTGGACCGGTCATTTATAAAACTAGTTTAGCTGGTTCACAACCTATAGCCAATATTCTGTATAGTAGTGTTCGGTTAGTACCAACCCATCTAACCATTCACAGTTCCGAAAGGGACGCAGTACTCAAAAATCACAAGGCACGCTTCTCAGACATTAAAAAAAATGATTGTGAGAGCAATCACAAAAGTGATTGCTTTGCTTGTAAATTTACGAAAAGTGAGTGTCCCATCAGTATGGAGTGGGTTCATTATTGTATCAATCTACTTGGTGCACACGACTATCACCGGGATATTTCTGTTATTAGTTACGTCTGAATTACTAGCTTCTGTCGTAGCTTACAGGATTTGTAAAATGCATGACGAATTCATTTGCGAAGTAAAAGTTGGGTTTCATTCTGGTCGTAAATGTGTTTATCTCTCACCAGTTACCAGAACCCTACTACACTTATTGTAGACCATCATTGCCGCCTTCGATTTATTGCATATAACTTCTCTTTGGAATTGTCTGTTAGAGCAAGGCGTTCCTTAGTTTTTCAACATCCTGGAAGCATCGTACAAAAGCATTCCAGGTTTAAGTGAGAACTGACTCTTACTAACCTTTGGCTAGGGGTTATCATTTATCCTTTCACAGCAAACTGGATATAGTGAGAGGTTTCCATAGGATGAGTATTGCTTTCATATTAGGATAAATATTACTTGTGCTCAGACTTCATATTTCATCAAGAAGCTGCATACATAATGGCAAGATATTTATCTTTAACGTTCGTGCATTATGTAGTCAGTTCTCCTTTGTTTCTATTTTACCAGTATACTGGTGATACATTCTGTTGCTAACTATTGTTTCCAATAGCTGCCATTTGACATATCGGCCTATTACTTACTCGTGTTACATATTAAATTTTCGTAATGTTGGACATTCGTGAGACAACTAGAGTAGCCTATTCACTCGGCTTCCAGGTATTGTGTCCAAAAAATCTGTTCCAGGTAACTGTTCTTACTGAAATACCATAGTGAGTCAGCAGTTGTTATTTAGGAGAATTTCAGACACTAAAGACCCGCATTATGAGCTCTACTTCTGTCTTACTCCTTCCCATGTCCGCCGATACATAGTATGGAACCATTAGCCCTTCATTTCTTGTAAGTTTTACTTCATTACAGTTGTCTGTTACGACCTTATTAACAAATCTTCATTTAAACGTCTAGGTATATCGTTAAGATTACTTATTTAATGGTGGTTTCATTTCACGATAACGTTTTTGACATGAGACGTGATGCTACTGCGTGGTTGTTTGGTCGCTACATTTAGTACATTAATTTGAAGATATGAAAAATAAAAATATGAAGGCCTTATAAATCATATTACCCTCGGCCTTTTATCATACATTCTAGTTGTCATTTGGACGCGAGGTATACAAATTACACCTACTTATGAAATGGATTTGTATCGCGTTCTGTTTAGTCACCCCCTCTTTATTTCCTAACAGTCCTATTCCTGGCACTTCTTCATTCTCATTTATAGGTCTGGTATAGGGATCATAGTGAAATAAAGAAAATAACTTAGTGTATGCAAAGTTATCACATTACTTCGTCGTTTAAACTTAGAACGTATTAGTTTGAAGCTAAGTATCGAAGTTACGGAACCACTCTACTACAATTATACAGTTAGTCAGTATACGTAGCACATGGAGTAATTAGGTCACATAAAACGATGGAGTTAATAATATAGTGCTCCTGTTTAAAAAGGTGTGAAGTAACAGCATTTATCTATAGTCTGTTTGGACTCTAATGCAAAAATTAGTGAGCGAAAGATTCATTGATTTGACTAGAGACAAATTCTTGAGGTATCTAAGAGTTGAAGACTAAACAAGATTTACCTCGTTAGAAAATGTTTGAGAAATGGTAACACAGTTTATGCGATTGACCAATAAGAGTAGTTGGAAAACACGTGCACCAACTAGTAGTAAATTCTTTGCAGTTATTCCTCTGGCAATCTCACCAACACTTAAACTATCAAGCGGTTCAAATATTACCAAAGGAAATTATAATAAGGCTTCATAGCTATGTATTTCGCCAACAATGGATATGCATATGATTGCACTGTGAATCAATAAGTACACCCTTACTAGTTTCAGTTCTGAGTCATGAGCGTGAGACAAATTGAACAGTTGTCCTGTGTAATTTGTATCTAACGTGTCCGTCCTAAAGTAGGAATTATTATTGTTATTAATATTATTACTTAACTGTACGTCATACAACAAAATAGTGTATACAATGGCTTACTAACTGAAATTCAGTTAATTTGAAAACTTTTAGGCTGAAAAGGATAGAAAGCAAGAGGAGTATGAAGCAACTAATGCTCTGAAAAACCGTATTCATCGTCTGGATGAGGATGAAGTCGATTATCTACAAACGTTATCTGCTAAACAGTACAAAGCCGATTTGGAGAAGGAGGAAGAAATCGCCGAATTAGTAAAAGAAGCAAAAATATCCTTTTGATAAGTTTATTATTATTATTGTTTCCCTTAATTCCCAGAGGAACTTAGGGCTTCAGCCGTGCGTCTCCACTGCGTTCGGTTTTCTGCTAGAGTCTTCACCTGGCTCCAAGTCTGCCCACACGTTTTCATCTCCTCTTCACATGATCTCCTCCAAGTCACCCTTGGACGACCAAGTTGCCGCCTCCCTTTCAAGTTCCACTCGAGGGCTTATCTAGTGATGTCACTTGATGGTTTCCTCAGAGATGTACTATTGTCGGTGGCACCCCGAAGAAGCGAAGTATTTGCCAAAGCACCTCTCGATCGACACTGTTGAAGGCCTTTTCAAAGTAGATGAAGTTGAAATAGAGAGGTGACTGCCATTCCAAGCTTTGTTCAATGATGATCCGTAATGTGGCGATCTGATCAATGCATGACTTGTTTCTCCTGAATCCAGCCTGTTCCGGTCGAAGTTTTCATCCAGGGCTTGTTTGGTCCTCTCCAGGATGATTCGGCTTAGTATTTTGCTTGGGATAGACAGGAGCATAATTCCACGCCAGTTCTTGCATTGACTTAAGTCTTCTTTCTTTGGTAGTTTGAATAAGTATCCTTTCTTCCAATCCTCAGGTACTTTGCCTTCTTTCCACACCTTCTCCAGTAGTGGAGTCATCAAGCCTGCTGTTATCTCTGGGTCCATTTTCAATGCTTCTGCTGGGATTCCATCTGGTCCTGCTGCTTTTCCAGCTTTCAGCATCTTGATTGCCTTCAGGGCTGCTGATTTCGTCGGGGGGTTTGGTGTTCACTGGTAGCTCTGTCTCCGTCGTTGGTATTGTTGGGCGCGTTGTAGGTGGTGGTCGATTTAGGAGTCTTTTGAAGTGTTCAGCCCAGTGTTTCCTTTGCTCCACTTCTTTGGTGAGTGACTTTCAATTGTCATCCTTCATTGGTTGAATCTGTGTCAAACTTTTACCCGATAGGTACCTAGTTGTTTGGTGGAGTGTTGCGAGGTCTCCTTTGCCTGCACTGCAGCTTGTTCTGCTTCACTTGCCATGGTTCATAATGCTTTCTTTTGTCTTCTCTGGCACTCTTCTTTACTCTTTTGTTCAGTGTCTTGTAGTTTGCATTCAAATCCTGTTTTTGTTGCTCGTCGGTGCACTGGAGAATATTTTGTTTCACTATCCCTCTCTCTCCTATCAGTCTCCAAGTGTCCGTAGTGAGCCACTGTTTGTCCTGTCACTTCTTTCTGCCTAGAACTTCCATGCAGGTTTGACTCCACACTGTTTTCAAGTTGTTCCAGTGCTTTTCGACGCTGACCTCTTCGCTAGTGTTGGCTTGTGTCTCGGCTTTGTCCTTTATGCTTGCAGTGAAGATGTCTTTTGTGTCCTGGTCCTTCAGTTTTTGAGTGTTGAACTTGGCTTGTGGTCTATTTGCAGCTCCTCTTACTCTGAAAGCTTTTAATTTGATTTGGATTGTCCCTTGTATGAGGTAGTGGTCTGAGCCAACGTCTGCTCCTCTTCTTACTTTTGTGTCCAGTAGGCTGCGTCTCCACTTCCTTGAGATTGAGATAAAGTCAATTTGGTTTTTGGTTCGCCCATCTGGTGACACCCATGTAGCCTTGTGGATATCCTTGTGTTTGTATACGCTGCCACCAATCACTAGTTCATTGAAGGCGCAGAAGTCGGTGAAGAGTTCTCCGTTTTCATTCATTTCTCCGAGAGCTGCTTTACCCATAATGAGTTTACTTCCTGTGTTGTCTGGCCCCAGTTTGGCGTTCATGTCTCCCATTAGTATTTTAATGTGACCAGCTGGAGTATTGTCCATTGTTGCCTGTAGTTGTCTGTAGAATTCTTCTTTCCTTTCGAGGTCTGCGTTGTTTGTCGGTGCATAGCATTGTATAACTGTCACTTTCCTTCCTTTGGAGTTGAATCTTGTGGTTATAATCCTGAGCGAGATCGCCTGCTATTGCAGCAGGGCCTTCGTTACCGTTGGTGGCATCATGATAGCTACGCCCTCGATGTGCATGTGGTTATCCTCTGGGTGACCGGAGTAGATCATTGACTCACCCGTTGACAATTTGGTGAGTCCATTCCCGTTCCACCTGCTTTCACATATCCCCAGTACTTGAATTCCGTATCTTTTCATTTCGTTTGCGATCTGGGCAGCTTTGCCAATCTCGTACATGGTGCGGACATTCCATGTCCCCACACAAACTTTTTCTTTTGGCGAAAGCAGCTTTGTTTACAGGGTGGGGTTGCTAGCCTCACACCTGAGAAGAGGATTGTAACATTAAAATATAGTTTAGAGAGAAGAGACCTTGTGGGTTGCTCCCCTTAAAACCAGGAATAAAACAATCAGAACAAAACCAGCACAGGAAAATAATTCACAAAAAGAAGGGTAACAAGCGACAACAACAATAATAGTATCACAGTCAAGTACAGTTAAGCAAAATGATACCAAAATCACAGACTGATTGACTTGAGCTTGCTACATTCTAATTATAAACTTAATTTTAAATTTTTCCACATACTTCAACCTTTGTGATCCTATTTTCGCTAGTTTCTTAACTTAAAGTATACACTCAGGCAAATCGACCAGTTCATGTTTCGTCTACAAATACTACTACATCTGGTTTGAGCGCAAAGTCTTTTTATAATAAAGGAGGTTCAAGTCAACGAGCTCTCATGGCTAGTGCTGTTAAACGGAATTCGTAAGTGATTTTGTATAATTTTATACTTCTGGCTATTGTAGTAGCTTGGACATAATTGGCCCACTGTCAAAGCGAGCAAACACAAGGACATCTAGTAAGTGACTAAGAATTTTATTTGGTTTTCATCATTGTTTGGTGTTGTATAGGGAAATTGAGTTTATACTACGTTTTAGATGACATACGGCTTCCTCATAAGCTGCAAACAAAATAAGTACCGTGTCAGTAGGGAAATAATTAAATTTGGATGGAGGTTATTTAAATTATGCGATCCAGTCCCCTTTTTTTGTAAATAAGCTACCGACTGGTTATTCTTGCGGATTCCATCTAGCCACCTTAAGTATACTGTGTTAACCAGGGGGCTACTTAAACTTGTTCAGCAGTGCAAGGTCTTAAGGAGAGCTGTCGTTTAGGTCACAAATGCTTAGTGTCATCGTTATGATTCAATCTCATCGTAGATGTGCTGGTGGATTTCACTGGTTGACTTCAAAGTCATAGCAGTTGACTTACTACTAGAAACAATTCTTGTTTACATAGAGTCCGTAGACGACAAAGTCCTTAGGACTGAACACCTTGGGCGAATATCTGACTCTAATTATCGTGCGACCTACTCATGTTAAATGTAGGGTAATGATACAAAACTGGACTTCATCTACTATTATCTCAAAAATGAGAAGTAAGTTTGTTAAATACGTTAAACATTGCACTTATTTCAGGGTTCGCTCCACCCCCAGTGAACTGGTTGTTGGAAAAATCTTATCATTGGATACGATGGGCTCGTTTAGCATTTGCTAACTTGTATTAATTTCGTTGTCATTTAGTGTCCCATTAAAGGACATATCTTCTGCATAACAATTCGTCGTGTCATAACAGTACCTGTCACTGATTATACTGCATTTAGGAAATAGTATCAGTCTTCTTTAGAATCGGGTAACCATTTCCTGATCTGTTAACTTTCTGTCTACTTCCAACCATAACATATATTTGCTTATTGTTTAGACTAAGTAAGAAAAGTCTTCCGAGTTCGGACCTATGTCTATTAGAATGTACTTATGTACAAGGTAGTCTGTAGTTAAAGCACATAGTCGATAAATACTGATAATTCTTCACGAAACTTCTGCATTGCTAAGTGATATCTACATGATCTATCCATGTTCACTACGAAGCTGATTAAACAGTGTTTCTTCCGAAATTGCAGTTTGAGAATAGATATCTATCTGAGCACAGTTGTACCAATATATTCCGTTGGTAGGAGTTGTCAGTCATAACTACAGAGTGGGAACTGAATGTCTCATGTCATAAGTCAGACTAATTGTGTAGGAATTAATGATACCGCCTAATTATCGAAGATGAAGTAGGTGAGGCGAACTTTGAACTCGAGAACCGCTGTTCGAAAGTCAAGTACTAAAAACATTGATACACATCTTCATTGGATAGTTAGTCTATTTTTGCCAGTCACATATTTAAACTATTTTCAAGTTAATTTTGTATGGATTGAAAGTGATTTACTAATTTTATGGTGTTTACTCTAATTCAATTTTTGTGCATTCACCACAGCTTCAAATGATCCTTTGGCAAAATTGTGTACGGATGAATCAAATTATCGTGGTATATCTAAGCACTTGAATAGACCTCTCGACATACTACCAGGATTGAGCGATTATTCAGATTCAGATTCTGAGAAGTCAACAGATTCCACTAGTGACGACTCAACAGATATAGAAGATTCCGTTTGTACATTACAACAAATAGCGTGTACAAGAATGCTTTATACTAAAACTGAAGGTTCCACAGGCAATGGAAGTGTATGAGTGATGCTATTTTTTGATGTACCTACGGGCTTGTGCTTTTATCCTCTTTCTGGATATCATCTACTGTTTGTGTCACAAGAACCTACTTATTAGTTGACTTAAATAAACAGACTAATTTGTGTATCAGTAAGCAGTTACTTAATTGAATAATTTTTGCACATAGTCATATTTGGAACTCCGTACTGCTATTCCTCTTGGCATTGGTCATCACTCATGCTTTCATGATGTAATTATTAGCATCCGTGTCTAAATATGTGAATTGAAACTAAAGGCTCGTGAATTTCTGATAAATGTCACAATTGTTTCTATTACAACTTGAGTCATATTCACTAGTGGTCTGTTTGAGAATAATTGTTTTAGTTGCTAATGACAAATAGTGGTTTGGGCTCGATCTTAAACATACTGTGATACAAGATAAAAGAAATATATTAATATTATGAGATCATTAATGTGTTCATTTCTCCTCTGCTATTCATCTGAATCCCCGAAATAAAAGGAGTATTCCTGAATTGTGGTAGTTCAGTAGTCAGATTACATGTAATCAGCATTCTTGCTTAATACAATTAGTGAACAAAGAATATTCTTTCAATAAATTCCTCAGTCTCTGCTGTTATATATCAATATTAGTTACGTAATAAAATAGTGTATACTAACCGTAGATCGTTAGGACATATAACCATCGTCTGCTTTTCTGAAAGTATAACGATCTTTAAGTCTGACTGCTGTTGGAATAAAGTTCAAAGTGAATATGTTAGCATGTGTAGTATAAAAGTACGTTGTCAAATTGAAGTGAATAACTATAATAGGCGGAGTTAAGGTTAATAAGAAACGATGATTGTGATCAAAGTTCTATAATAGCAGGTAAAAGTTTTGAATAATGTTCAGTACATGTGAAATTGAGTATGCAGTCAGAAGAAATAATGACATTGGAATCTATCCAAGCAGGAAGAGATTGACTAACGTGTTTGGACGATTTAATATTATTAAAATAGTTAGGTGTATTTCAATCCAGGAAAAAAGAGGTGGAATGATAGTTTAAACGTAACGGTAACGTGGTAGTCGAATCAGAAGTGTAAAGGACTATCACCGTCTTGGGCTTCTCGGCATGGGACTACATAGATACATCCAACATACTTTTTGGACTAGTCCAAACGTACCTCTTTGAGTATTAAAATCACCTAAGATAATGGTATGTGAGTGTCTTTCTTTTACCAGTAAAACGGATAACTTCTGATAACAGCCATTCTTCGACTTTATCCAGGGTGTATTCATTTGGAGATAACCAAACGGCGTCGATGACTATTAATGCTTCGCCTTACTTTTACTGATTCATCCCAGTTGGACAAGGCACTGACGGCTGCCCACCGGGAGCTAATCAAGTATTGAGTTTTATGCTATCGTTACACTGACAAGTCGACGAAAAGTTAAGTAATCTACTTAATAACAGATTATTTCACTACTACTATAACTACTATACGACTTCTGAGCGAAACAGTTTCTTCTTAGCTGTAGATTCTAGTCTCATCTAGCTACTGTACATACATATATGCTACTAAATCGATTTTGAGACGTATCAGTGATCAATCCATACCGAGTTTTAAATAGGACATGCAATACATTCATTACTGACAAAATACACAGCGTAAAGTGAAAACTCACCACCGTCTCTTTTAGAAATCTCCAAACGTGCGGAACGGCGACCTGATGTATGCATCATTTTGATCTAGCCATTGCTTGACACGAGTGGTTTACAACTACTAATATCAACCAGTATCACATGCTGTCTTGCTAAATAATCAGCCAGTCTGGATTACACAACACTAAAAACATATCTTCGTCGGTTAGAAGCGTATTCCAAATCACACTGACTTTTATTACAATTTAATACCACGCATCGCAATAAGTGACTAGGACTGTACAACGCATACTCCACACATTTTATTCAGTGCCTTTTATCTAATTTTCATCCCCCTCTCCACCTAGCAATAATTCAAAAACACAGAACAAATAGTCGCAGATCGAAGATATCTTACACCGTCAGCGAGTATGTTTAAATCGTTGAGTAGGACATGGTGAAATACAGTACAGTACACTCATCCGTTGACTAGAGGTCTGACATCTTACTGATGCTATAGATAATGCAGACCAAAACACAGACCTTTCGAATCTATGCTTCTACATCGTCAGTGACCCGTCTATTAGTGCTAATGCAGTGTGTGAACTGACTGAAACGCTAGAATATATAACTACCCTTAATTTAAGACTGGGACGCACTGGTCTTACCACCTGCTCAGCGCGCCAAATGCATGCACAAGACTCTGGATTTTGACAGTACCTCTTATTGAAGGGACCATGTTGCCTGTATACCTTATATTACCGTTTCAAAAGCAAGTTGACACAACTATCGCACTCCAGCATCACGCTGCAAACGACAGCGCACTTAGACAGGTAATACCACTAACCCTTTCTCTTGCCCAAATAAATGATACATAATACCCGCAGTCGATATCTACTTCGGTCCTTCCGTAGAAACCCCCACTGGCGTCCTTATAAAGAATCCCGAACGTAAGACTAATTACAGGAACTCAACCTGTAACGCATCAAAAATAAGCTTGTGGTCCTTAAATATTAATCCCACTGCTTTGTAAGTGCACGCTGATATGAAATGGAATCGTATCGAAACTATATTTTTATTCTTAAGAAGTCTGATTTAAATTTACAAGCAACTATTAGTCCACCCAATTTATACAAGTCCTTAAAATGCATTGGTGATAGATCAAAAATGCATCAGCCCATGAAATCAACTTGAGACAGGTAGGGAAGTTTAACGGTTGGAGTCTCCAAAATTGTAGCAGACTCTTCGTGAGATGGCTCGAGTTCACTTACATTGGTGGATTTATTCAGTCTCTATCATTGTAATTTTAATTACCTTTGACACCCACCCATAAGCTAAACTTTCAGATACGCATTTTTGTCTGTCGTGATACCACTGCATTTGCTTTAAATGTGCTTTTTAAAAGTGTAGAAAATTAAATTGGTACGTATCTGTGTGGAAGTCTATACTAATTAGTCAGTTAGTCGAAATGAAGATGCTACTGATAACTAGCTTTTGCGACTAACCAAAACACTCCCAATAGCCAAGACGTCGATGATAACGTATGCTGCCATTATTCAAACATAAGCGAACTTAATTAGCCTATCGAAAGAAGCAGTTAATTGCACAGTATTAATTTTATTCAAATGTCTAATCAATTTCACTTATGTATATAAATGAAGTGGAAAGTTGTGAGTGACTTGATACGATTATGAGCAATAGTTTGTGCTCGGAACGTCATCAGTTAATATTACTGTATAAGTGTGTGATTTATCAAAATAAAATCTTATCTCTTATGAACTTCAATTTGTTGGGCAGTCTTTCACCACTAGTCATGCTTTAATCAACATAACATCCTATATTAAAAACACCACAATAATAAGGTTACCGAACCAGTGAACGTATTAAGCATTTTTCATGACAAAAGGTCAGTGAGGAATAATATTATGTTTCATAGCACAGTTAAGAGGAAACCGTGAAATCATGTAAGGATGGTGGAGAACAAACAGCTAGTGATACAGTGATGTTATTAGCATCGGATGAAGACAATAATGAGAACCCACAACCATTCAAATTACAAAAATCTGAAATATTAGGCTTCCAAAAATTAAAAAACATTGCAACCAATAAATAAATCACTTATACGAACATTTAGAAGTAATATAGGTCGTTTCGAGTGTTTTAAAAGAGCTTACACGCCCACTTCTTCTCTTTGAAAGGATTGTCCTTAACACGGTGAACAAGAGGATCTGAGAGTAGGTTTTCTTGGCAGTAATTGATTAAGTCTATAACAGTATGGCTGAATCTTTGTCTCTCATGAGCACAGTGAATCCTTAGATCTTGAACTTCACGTCTTCTTATTTCAATCTCGTGCGACCTACTAATTGGAGCCATCTGCTAAGTTCTGCCAGCACCAAACAAAACAGGGACCAAACGGACGTAGGTCACTCGCTGACCTATGGGTGAGAAAAACAAAGTTTGTGATGGAATTTTTTGAGAAACTACCGACTTCAGAGCATTTCCATGTTATGATAATAAATCGAAAATTTTAAAACTTGATAGTATGACACTAGAACATTTATGAATCAGTTGTGATAAGCAGCTGGGTATGATGCATAGATTAGGTTCAAACAAAAGTTGTAACACATTACGCCAGATACTGTGTCGAAGACTGATAGTTAGAATTAAGTGTCAATCATAGGAACACAATTACAATTAAGTATTCTGTTGTCCGTATTAATAACAATAGGCTAACTAGTCTGTATCAGCACTTAATTTTTGTTCCCCATAACGACCCAGCTTTTCCTAGGAAGCATCAGCTGGGGAAGCTACTATCACAAACTGCAGTAACAAGTTTGAGCTCTATAGGCAAATCTAAACTACACTAGTCGTTCTCTTAATTGTGATTCCTGAAATCCCTTCAACAATTACACCAAGAAGAGGCGAAATTATCCAGGTGGTTAACACAGTCATATCACAAGTTCTTTAGATCTGGTTTGAAAAGACTCACAGTTTCTCCCCTCTCCTCGTGCATAGAAACCGTGGGCCACTGGAAGAGATATACTAGTTGCCTCCTGCTCAAATTCGAAACTTGGAAAGCCACATTAACTATATACAAGATATCCATTCACCCTAAACTTGAGTAGTGGGCCCTCCATATGTTAGCCTAAGGTAAGCAGGTCGGCAAAAGTACGAGAATATATTGATAAAGCAAACGGAAGTTTCTTACGGAATCACATGACTGAAAAAGGCCTGTGTGGTTCAGGATAGTAAATGTCAAAGTCATAGGGGCTCTTCATAGTGTAGTCTAATACCAAACCATGCCATTCACTCTACTTTGGCTGCAATCTCACGATTGCCACTCACAGAAAGACCAGAAATGCAGACGTCTTCACCACTGACTTCAGTAAAATGTGGAAGCAATCACGGCGGAATGTTTTGGAATAAAGCGAATTATTATTATTAAATGGTCTGAAAATCCCTCCGGTGCAACCTACTGATAACTTTGACACTTAGTTCAGTATTTCAGGTAATTTTGTGATTGTTATCCTCTGACCTGACTGCTATTACACTCACATTCGCCCGTCTGCTTCTGATGTAGTTGTAATTGCCTATCATTGCCTACAATTGGTCTTCAAAATGCATCAGAGTTTATGAAGACCGTTTAATCAGAAACAGAATAAAGCAGATGGAGGGGGGAGGGAGCCAACACAGAATTGTTTAAGGATAGTGGTGATGGAGTGTTTCCTGGGTTACCTGAGACATTAGATAATGTCTGGGAATAAAAGTTAGCCTCGTTGGACAGGTAGAAACGGTTGATTATCTCAGTTTATATAAAGACAGACAAGTCCTCCTAGTATAATCATAAGGGGATAAACTTGACTAATATAGTATCAGCAGTCCCAGACTCAATAATCACTTGTAGACCAAGCGGTACAGGGAAAGAGTAGACCTGGAGAAATCAGGGAGGCTCTAAACCAAGATGATGGGCACTTAACATAACCTCACTACCTGGCAAATTCTGGAATGCACGAACACTTTCCAGAGTCCAACACTTGGCATAATTCCCAACCTGAAGACGGAATCGGTTTCCATTGATCTAGAGGTGTTGTAGCAATATCTAACGATGAAGAGAGTGTGGGAAAAAGTACATTGCATCAATTAAGGTACACTACATTTCCGAATGGGGAGTTCGAACTTCTGAATCGCAACTAAAGGATACTTTAGTTGCTTGTGAGAACTCTTAACATTTCGCAGTGAAGAGCTTGTAAGCCCACATCCTTTTCATTGGCCAGTTTGTAAGCCAACGTTTTCCTCTGAGCATTCTTTATCTGAAAATCAGATTTCAAATTAACAACAAGTAATCATCAAATCTTCTTGCTAAATGTTCGGCAAGCAGGAAACGAATGCAAACAAATGTGGCAACATATCGTACTAGTTCCCCTTCACAGCTACTTTAAATAGTCAGTCGATGAT